AACCGCTCAGCCTCCGCTCCCATCCACACCCCTCGAGTGCAACGTGCACAGGAGGAAAACGCTCTTGCTACTTTGGTAACTTGACTCCCTTCTCCCTCCCTGCACAAAGCTCCTCATCCAGGTATCGGGCTGCTATGCCGACTACACAACACTGCTGCGCTCCCTTCTACGCACAAGTGCCTAACGCGGGGGCAGGACTTGGTTCTTAGCAGTGGTCTGGACAAAGTCCAGCACCGAAAAGGAAAAAAGCACCAGGTGACACCTGTCCCCAAACCCACGTGGCCCCCGGGAGGCGCACACATGGCGCTTACAGCGACGGCAGCCGACAGGAAAGCCAGCGCCATTAACGATGTAACGCTGGAGTGGAACGAGGAGCTGTGGAAGCTGGCGGCTGCTCAGAGACCCGTTAATGCCAACATCCGGATATAGTTTATTATCCTCTCATCGAGTGCATTCATAGAGAACATGGACTCTAAACAAGTTACCGAGGAGTGTGGGAGGACTGGCCGGCCGCTATGCTAAGCATGTGCTATGAAGGTTAGTGTTAGCATTAACCAATGGAACAAACCGGGGATGAAGGGGGGTGGGAAGGGGACCCAGTGAAACCTCAGCCCAGCCAGCAATCCGGAGGATATCACCATACATTTAAATAAATAATTCTAGGGGTACTATGCACCTCCTCAATGCGTTTTGCCCAAGGATGGATAAAAAGCGAGAGGTCGTGTCTGGCTGACAACGGATGGTCCCTTTGCTCGGCCGTGGGAGAAAGGAGGAAGCTGCAGCTTCAGCTCTTACAGAGAGGACGCAGCCTTGTAAACCTCGAGAGGACAAGCAAGCGCGGGTGAGCCAGAGCACGCGAGCGTGCCTGCCCCCACCCCGGGCACTTGCTTTGAGAGGAGCAAGGGTTATTAAACCAGACCCTAAGAGAACAACTGTCTAGCACAGGCGCAGCCAGCAAGGGGCTGCGTGGTTCTAAATCCATGCAGGACCAACTACGGCCGAGCCACGAACGCTCCAGCCGGGCAGCCGCGGTCCGGACCCCGCGCGTCAGGCTACGGATTCACGCGCCGCTCCCGCTATGCTATTCTTTATAAAAAATAAAAATAAAAACAACTTAAAAAATCCCCCAAAATGAACAGGCCAGTGCGAGATGCTTCC